AGGTGGCAAACCTGAGAGTAGTGTAACTTTTTTTTTTTTTTAATGGGCCTATCCCATGGGCCTGGAGCTGGAGCTCCTTCAGCCCCTATGTTAATCCGGCCCTGGCCATGTGAATCCAAATTGTGTGTGTGGGTAAGGTGTAATATATTCTGCAAGTTGAACCAGAGGTCATGCAGTGTGCATCTGACTCTATCGGATGCTGGCACCACCTCTCCTACACTTTAAGTTGTTAGACACTGAAGGAAGCTTTACAATCCAAGTGCCATTACTCTTGCATGGTAACAATGACTATAATATTTAACAGCTCATAGAAAAATTGTTAAGCTAGTTAATAAGCTAATGTAATATCAAAACATATATAAACATATAACATGAGCATGGTCTGCAGTCGGAACAAACAGCTAACTAAAGCTTTCAAACACAGATAATTTTGCTGAACCTGCCCTGGAGAAGCAATCTGGACAAAAGGGCCCCAAAGAAATGGGTCAATTCAGGCCTTGTCCACGATGCCGGCGATGCCGGAGCAGAGGCTTGAGTCCACAGCTGTGGCTCATAATGAAACTACTGCTCAGTGTTAATGGGCATGAAATTGCTATATTCGCCGAGTTAAACCGGAGCTCATGCAGTGTGCATCTGACTCGATTGGGTGCTGGCACTGCCCCCCCTCCAAACACAACCATTTATTGATACTGAAGGAAGCTCTACACTCCAACTGCCACTTCTCTTGGATGGTAACAATGGCAACAATATTCAACAGCCCATAGAAAAATTGTTAAGCTAGTTAATAAGCGTTTATCAAAACATATATCAACACATTTACACACTTCATCCACACAGAATAAAACATTTCTCAATCACATTAATATACTCAACACTATTAAATATCTAAAAAGGTAATTAATTTCAGTTACTTTCATGATAACACTACAACATTCAAATCAATAAACAGGTGCATAAAACTGGGGCACACAGAACCAACCTTACCTCCCCCTCCACACCACTTAAGAATTACTCTAGTGCCATGTTATAATTGCTACAGCGTGCCTTTCAAATGACCACTCCTATTGAGTGTCTGAGGGTGGTGATGGGACAAGGTTTGTTCCGCGGTGTCCCATTTCAGAAATTGTTATCCCTTTTCCATGTTCAATAGAATATCTCAGTAGCAAAAGAATAACAGCATTTCACGCACATGTCCACTATAATCATTTACATTTTCTGTAAACAGTTTCCTAGACAAATTGTCATTGGATATGTATAGATAGAAAAATCCATTATAAATCTGCAAAACTCCAATAAAATTTTCGAAACAAAACAAAAACATCTAATCGCTACACTATAACAATTATGTTTATTTTAAGATAGCAATCACTAAATACAATATTTTTAAACTTTATGCGCTGCTTAGTTAACTCAGCTAGAAATACAATTTGCTTATATACCAGGCAATGTTAAGCAATCACAAAATGTATAATCCTAAAGCATCCTTAAATGCAGATATTTAAACTAACAGTCGCTGGCATCTTGTCAAGGGTTACAAACATTGTGTTGGACTGCTGCTCCCTGGAGGCAAAATATTTGAAAGCAAGTAGAAAATAACCATAATTAAAGTTTATATGCTTAAACACTACGCTATGGCATTTTCAGCAGCAAAATTCACAAAGATGACAAACTTTTTTTACTTTTTACCAACCATCTCCACTCCCAGTACCTCCAGATGACGCTGGGGAGGGAGACCTGCTGTCTCCACTACCAGTAATATACCCTGCTGCTGGGGAGGGACACTGACTCTCCGGTTGCCTTTGGGAAGGGTGTCAAGCCGTCTCCGCTCCCATTGGTTCCAGCTGCCATTGGGAGGGAGACCAACCATCTCCTCTCCCTGGAACACACACTGCCGCTGGGGAAGGCGGTCGAAACTCCCCTCTCCAGGTCGTACATACTGCCACTAGTGAGGGATACCAGCTGTCTCTACTCCCATTTGCTCCAGCTTCATCTGGAGAGAGAAACCGTCCATCTCCTCAGCATACTCCTCTTCTGGTGGTGCAGTGTCCATAAGCTCCACTATTTCTGAGGCCTGTGGAGGTATACAGTGGAACAGGCATACATAGTTTGTTCAAGCTCCCTCTCCAGGATAGCTAGAAAAGTCAGATCTGGCTTCAGCCCGTTATCTCTGATAGATCTTCCTGCTCACCACATATGCTCCAGAAGCACGAACCTGCTGGGTTCCCAAATTTCACATTGTCCTTAAAAACCTCCCACAAAAGACCGGGACCATCATAGTCCTCCCCCTCGATACATTTGCTATCGACCAGCAACTGGTAGAATACATGCCACTGCACCTCGTCCAACCACACTTCTGTCATGACAAGCATCTCTAGTTCCATTACCCATTCATCCAGGGGCTGTTCTCCCAGGATTGGCATCTGCAATGTGAGTTGTTCCCATCAGTGCTGTTCAGTGGTCGGGAGGGACTTGCTCCGTAAGGGTTGTATGTCCTCAAAGCTCTGCTTCAATGGGTTAGTTTAGATCACCACCCTCAATTCCAGTTCTATCTCTGCAGGAATATGGTCACCCTTCTGGCACAGAACCTACTGTAGCTGCTGCTGGAGTTTCACATTCAATAAGGACTCTGTACGAGTGCGAGCGCTCTCCATGGCCACAAGTTCCAAAAGGTATACATGGGTTCCTGTGGTATGTAGGGGATCTCTCGTACAGTTAGGAAGCCATCCCACCTCTGCAGCCAAATGTGGTGAACCTCCTGGTACACTGGCTGGGTACCTCCACCAAGCACTCTTCCTAGCTAGAACAGGACTGCACCAGAGTCCGCCCAAAGTGATGCTCCCCCCCGAGTCCACCCACAGGGATTCAGTGTCTGTACTGATTCTGGTGTGTGTATAGTGCATGTAGAATGTGTGTAGTTGATGCAGAGTTTGTGTGTTAAGTGGATGCGGTGTGTGTTTAACGGATGCAGTGTGTATAGTGGATGCAAATTGTACATTTGTGTAATGTATGAGGTGTATATTAGATGCAGAGTGTGTGTTTGTGTAGTGGATGTAGTGTGTGTTTATAGTGAATGTAGAGTGTGTATGTGTATTTGTGTAGTGAATGTAGTGTTTGTGTGTATTAAATGCGATGTGTATAGTGAATGCAGAGTGTGTGTTTATATAGTGGATGTAGTGTGTGTAGTGAATGCAGAGTGTGTGTAGTGGATGTAGTGTTTAGTGAATACAGTGTGTGGATGCAGAGTGTGTCTTTGTGTAGTCGATGTAGTGTGTGTATAGTGACTACATAGTGTGTGTTTGTGTAAGTATTTAATGTGTGTATGTGTTAGGAAGTAGTGTGTGTAGTGACTGCAGAGTGTGTGTTTGTGTAGTGACTCCACAGTGTGTGTTTGTGTAAGGATGTGTAAGGATGTAGTGTGTGTAGTGACTCCAGAGTGTATGTTTGTGTAAGCATGTAGTGTGTGTAAATTTTAGTGAATATTGTGTGTATATGTTAGTGTATAGTTTGTATAAATGTTAGTGTATAGTGTGTGCAAATGTTAGTGTATAGTGTGTGTAAATGTTAGTGAATAGTGTGTGTAAATGTTCATAAATAGTGTGTGTAAATGTTAGTGAATAGTGTGTGTAAATGTTAGTGTATAGTGTGTGTAAATGTATGGGGCTGGAAAATGTTGGGAAAAGCCTACAAGTTTTTTTTCCCATCCATTAATTGTATTGTTTTATTCCCCCCTCCCTGTATCTCATCTGTGGCCATGGAGGGGGAGATCACATTGGCTGGATCCCTGGAGCCGAAGGTCCTCTGGAATGGTGCAGTCCCTGCTACCTGTATTCTGCAGGGGGCCCAGCACACTTGAAATATACTGCCCAGATGCTCTGCTCTGTCGAAGTCTCGCGAGCCCATGGCAATGCTCTGACGATCGCGTTGTTCTTGAGACTTCGGCAGAGCAGTATATTTCAAGTGTGCTGGCCCCCCTGCAGAATACAGGTAGCGGGGGGCCCGCAGTGCACACATATATAGTGTTAATCGCTATATATGTGTGCACATAGCTAATGTGGGCAGTGGCATACGCACAACCCATGGGGCCCCAGTGTGAAAACTGATCCGTGGGCCCCTCCTCTGCGCGGGCTTACTCTGCGCGGGCTGGGGCCACAACACATGGCGGCGGACACCTGGTCGCAGGGGTCGCAGGGCTGCGACCCCTGCAACTGGAGTATGTACGCCAGTGCATGCAGATACACTTAAAGGACCACTACAGACACCCAAATCACATCAGCTCAATGAAGTGGTCTGGGTGCCAGGTCCCTCTAGTTTTAACCCTGCAGCTGAAAACATAGCAGTTTCAAAGAAACTGCTATGTTTCACTGAGGGTTAATCCAGCTCATTGACAGCCACTAGAGGAGTTTCCGTGATTCTCACTGTGAAAATCACAGTGAGAAGATGCTGAACGTCCATAGGAAAGCATTGAGTAATGCTTTCCTATGGGCGGTTTGAATGCGCGCGTGGATCTTGCCACACATTCGGAGCTGAGAGGCGGATCAGGGAGGAGAGATCCCCAGCACCAAGGGAGTCCGGCGCTGGAGAAAGTTAAGTGCTTAAGACACACACACACTCTCACGAACAGACGCATACACACTAGCTAACAGACACACACATTTACTGACAGACACACACTCAGTGACAGACACACACAGTAACACACTCACTGACACAATAACACACACACACACACACTCTCTAACACACACACTAACACTTGCACACAAACACTGGCACAAACACACAAACACACACACACTCTAACACACACACACACACACTAACACACTAACACACACACACACACTCTAACACACTAACACTAATACACTAACACACACACACTAACACACACACTAACACACACTCTTAGTGTGTGTGTGTTAGAGTGTCTTAGTGTGTGTGCGTGTGTTAGTGTGTGTGTTTTTGTTAGTGTGTGTATGTGTTAGAGTGTGTGTGTTTAGTGTGTGTGTGTGTTTGTTAGTGTGTGTGTGTTAGTGTGTGTGTGTTAGGGTGTGTGTTAACACACACACGCTAACACACACACACACACTAACACACACACACACTAACACACACACAGTCTAACACACACACACACTAACACACACTCTAACACACGCACACTAAAACACACACACACACTAACACACACAATCTAACACACACACACACTTTTTAAAATTTCATTTTACCTTTTGGAGTGCTGAGGGGATTCCCTGGGGTCCAGTGATGTCACTTAGCGGCCGGTCCTGCTGGCTGGCGCGCGAGGGAGCACTCTCCCTGGCTGAGTGATTCCTGTTCAGCTCCCTCGCGTGCCGCGTACTGATGCCGGAGTCGGAATATGACGTCATCTTCCGGCACCGGTATCAGTACGCGGCACACAAGGGAGCTGAAGAGGAAGCACTCAGCCAGGGAGAGTGCTCCCTCGCGCGTCCGCTGGGTGACACCAGGGCCAGCCTCGGGGGGCCCGGAGGTGACCGGCTGCTGGGCCGCCCCAGGAGAAGAGGCTGCCCACAGTGGGTACATACCGGGTCGCAGGGTAGCCAGGTCCCCATTATGGTTGTCAGGCCCTGATGGCGGCCCTGTTGGTACTTTCTCTGCCTGTTCTGCATCACGAAAGAAAGTGGATTTAGGAAGGACCTGTTTCATTCTCATTCACCTAGTTTGCTTATCTATTTTAAAGTTAAATCTAGAAGAATCCAATTCTCTGAATAGTACATTTTGATGAGATAATAACCAAATAGCAAAACGTTAGCAGCAAGAACATTATTTTTTTAATTTATTTTTTACCTTCACTACCACGTATAACCAGTGTGACACATTCACTTCGACAGCCGAATCATTTATTTGTTTCAAGTTTATGGTTGCTAGATCAAAAAGATGCAGGGATCCATGTGCACTAGATTAAATCCAGATCAACTAACTATCCAGGTTAGAAACATCATAAACATACCCATATACAATGGCTACAGTGCCAGCAACAGCCTAGTCACAAACACCTTAATTATAAAGGATGACTTTTGTTATACCTGCAATATAGACCTCAATTAAAACCTCTATAATAACTTGCTCATTTGTGCTTTACAGCAATATATCATTGCTCCCAATAGCTAAAACTAATGATATACTAATTACAGGGAGTGCAGAATTATTAGGCAAATGAGTATTTTGACCACATCATCCTCTTTATGCATGTTGTCTTACTCCAAGCTGTATAGGCTCGAAAGCCTACTACCAATTAAGCATATTGGGTGATGTGCATCTCTGTAATGAGAAGGGGTGTGGTCTAATGACATCAACACCCTATATCAGGTGTGCATAATTATTAGGCAACTTCCTTTCCTTTGTCAAAATGGGTCAAAAGAAGGACTTGACAGGCTAGAAAAGTGTAGATATCTTAAAATGCAGCACTTTAAAATTGCATTCTGAAGCGTGATCAAACAATAAGCGTCATTCAAAGTCAACAGGGTCGCAAGAAGCGTGTGGAAAAACCAAGGCGCAAAATGCATGAACTGAGAAAAGTCAAGTTGCCACGATGCCACTTGCCAAGTTTGGCCATATTTCAGAGCTGCAACATCACTCCCAAAAGCACAAGGTGTAATACTCAGAGACATGGCCAAGGTAAGAAAGGCTGAAAGGCGACCACCACTGAACAAGACACACAAGCTGAAACATATGGGCCAAGAAATATCTCAAGACTTTTTTCTATTTTATGGACTGATGAAATGAGAGTGAGTCTTGATGGGCCAGATGGATGGGCCCGTGGCTGGATTGTTAAGGGCAGAGAGCTCCAGTCCGACCCAGACGCCAGCAAGGTAGGTGGAGTACTGGTTTGTGGTATCATCAAAGATGAGCTTCCTTGGGTTGAGGATGGAGTCAAGCAGTCCTACTGCCAGTTCCTGGAAGACACCTGCAGTGGTACAGGAAGAAGTATCCTTCAGATGAATGCAGGACAATGCTCCACACACGCGTGTCTCCACAGCATTGGCAAGAAAGGGTATAAAAGTCTAATGACATACCTGACTGAACCCCATTGTGTGGTCCATCATCAAATGTGAGGGAACGGTACACCTCTCTGAACAGTGTCTGGGATGTTTTGCTGCACGCAATGTTGATGGTGAACAGATCAAAACACTTACAATGGATGGCAAAAAGAAAGGTGGCATATTACTGATTTGTTTTTGAATGTCAAATGTATATTTGTGAATGTTGAGATGTTATATTGGTTTCACTGGTAATAATAAATAATTGAAATGGGTATATATTTGTTTTTTGTTAAGTTGCCTAATAATTATACACAGCACCTGCACAATATCCCCCTAACATAGCTGAATATTCAGCTATATTAATGAGTTTATAGAACATTTGTTGTTCAATGCCTAATAATTCTGCAATATTGTATTCATCATTCCCCAATGTCCATCTTCTGTTAATTTTGAATATCATTCTGTATAAATATATGTAGTATAAAACATTAATTATAGAAATATCCAAAGCATTTCAAGATGTAACATTCATGATTCATTAGTTTATTAATATTATTATTATTTTATTTTTGTGCAATACATGTTTGATAAATTGTAAGTGTTCCTTGTACGCAGCTTGAAGACCTGGGATAGATAACATTACTGTCATTTATGTAAGTAACTAGTTACAAGAGGGAACTTTAGATTTTTATGGATCCTAAATGAAAACATTTACAGGGTCCATTACTAGCAAAATTAGTGAATGTATACTTTATAGAAATTAATGCAAATTAATGTATGTGTTCAATGTTAGTGTTCTGTCTTCATTTTTAAATAGAGACTATAGATAAAAAAATATATGACAAATCGGTTTTCATTGTATGCAGATCTCTCTGCCCAATCCTGTTCAGATGGCCCATTTACTTATAGATGGCCACAATGTAGATCTCCAGTTGTTGTAGAACTACAACTCCAATAATCCTTTGCTAGCCTTAAAAATGGCAAAACATCACAAGAGTTGAATTTCTTCAACAGAAATCTATCTTTAAACTATTGCTACCATTGAAGCTGTATAACTGAATTTATAATTATGGAGTTTTTAACCTTTTAGGATATTTAGTGTTGTACTTACTATCTTTGTAACTACACAAAACAGAAATAATAAAGAGGAACAATATTTGTTTTACTTTACTGCAAGAGCATATTTGACTGCCGCAAGACAATTTTTTACTTAAAGAGATGCTGGGGAATGCCAACCTTTGCAGTAATGTTGTGATACAAATAGATTGCAAGATGGTTATATTATTGCATAACTCTTAATATTTCTATAAACTATCACAAAACATCAGTATAAGATGAAAACACTGTGCTTTTATTCACCAAAAAAATAAAAATAAAACTACGTGGTGGAAATCAAAATAATTATCCTTTTTTTTTTAGTTTTCCAGGTGGCCTATATCTGGGATTTACAGAGCTCTATGTTTAGGGATATTTATAATGAGTTCTGCATTAAGGGATTCGTGCCATTCCAGTGTTAAATCAATTAATTGATTAATCATGAAATGCATTGCTTTCTCAGCAGGGGATTCTAAAATTCCTCTCGTCTTGCCAGTGAATTGAGATATACTTTAAAATCTACAGACATTTACTAACCCTCTCATTTCCATCAGTGTTCAGTCATTGACAAATACTGAAATAGGTAAATTAGTGTACTAAAAATGTCTATTTAAATGAAATGCACATATGCAAGAACGTCACAATGAGGTCAGCCAGCTCATGGGATTCTCCAAAAAAGGTCATGTTTGTAAATAATTTGAAATTCATTTTACTAAACAATGTTTTGTAAACAGTCTTTGAACTGGCAAAAATGTAATTTTAGAGAAAAGGTCAAGTCATAAATGAGTCAGAATGATTTCTTATGCACATGTAAATGGAGTTTCTTGATGGGATTTTTCAGCGGGTTTTAGTCCTTACTACGAATGTTGATAGGCTCTCTGTGACTATCGGAGTGAAACAGCAAGAACTGTATTAAGGCATCCAAGCATCCAACTTATATAGAAAAAAATCTGTTGTTGCTTTGGACACTATGGCTGTTTGACCTTTTTTATATTTTTAAAATTTTCTATGAAAAAATTCTGAGATTTTAATGTATCATCTGTACCAATATTTATGTATAAATATTTTCTCTGCCATTATGTATTGTATGTCAATTACTTGTACTTGTAAGCTATATAGCTTTAGTATAGCTTGTATGTTATATGACTTAGACTTGTGCAGAGCAAAAATCATTTTTGCCGAATCATATGATTGTCAGTGTGATGGATCACTGTTGTGTTTTAGTATTCTTTCAATCTACTTTTTACATGATTATTTTATACTTTATGTGCCTTACAGAAGCCATGACAAAGAAAGTGTCAAACGAAAGTCAGGTAACCGAATTCCTGATCTTGGGATTATCTGACTCATTGGAACTGAAAGTCCCTCTTTTCCTGCTCTTTCTTCTCATCTATTTTATAACTATGCTGAGCAACTTTGTAATCATTACACTCATTTGTCTGGATAGCCACTTACAAAAGCCCATGTATTTCTTCCTCTGCAACATGTCCTTCCTTGATATATTTTACACCACAGTCACGACTCCCAACCTCCTATACAATATTATCTCAGGTGACCAAACAATTTCTTTCAAAGGCTGCATGACTCAACTATTCTTCTTTAACTCTTTCGGAAGCATGGAGTACATGTTACTGACAGCCATGGCTTTTGATCGTTACATAGCTATTTGTCATCCTTTTAGATATAAACTGCTCATGAATGCAAGAGCCTGTCAGTTGTTAGCTGTCACAGCTTGGTTTGCTGGGTTTTTAGCTGCTGTTCCTCTAAGTGTTCAGATTTCTTCCCTTACTTACTGTTCTTCCAACAGAATCAATCATTTCTTTTGTGATCTGACAGCACTGTTGAAGCTAGCTTGTGATGATACGTCTTCAACAGAACTGATCATGTTTAGTGATGGGCTTCTAATTGTCCTCAACTGTTTCGTGCTAACATTTATTTCATATGCTCAAATCATTTCTTCCATCCTAAGACTTGGTTCCAGAGAAAATAGATTCAAGGCTTTCTCAACCTGTGGCTCTCATCTCACTGTAGTCACACTCTTATATATGATGATTGTTTGTTTGTACCTGAAACCAGTCTCTTCATATTCTCTGCAAGAGGCCAAAATTGTATCTATATTTTATGTTAATATCCTTCCAATGTTAAACCCAATTATATACAGTTTGAGGAATAAGGATGTGAAGGAAGCATTGGAGAAATGCATGCATTGCAAATAATAGTAAAATGTTGTGCAGTATATTCCTAAATGTGTATGTTGAAATGTATTTTTAAACTTGTAAATATTATTAAACAGACATGATGTTTTACACTCATATACCATTTTAATGTACCTCTGCTCAGTGCTCACATTTTGAATAGTTTATTTATTGCAATACTGCCTATTTAATGTATGTTTCCCTTGAGTGTTGTTTCCTTTTTTTCTCTAAAATGTGTTAAATATTTTTCCATCAATAGTTCTTTAATGGCTTAATTAATTAATTAAAAAATAACAATAAAAATGTTAGCTAATTTTCATGCATTAATGATTTACAATCGCTATGCAGTGAGAAAATGGGCCATAGTGTTACCCTTATTATCATGGCTTAATTATCACAGCCTACACTACTAGCCAGACTGTTAATGTTACTCACCATGGCAAGAAAGGATTGATGGCAAAGTCACTAGTGCTGAAATTCTACTCACCGTGGTGAAATTTTCACTCTCTATGATTCTCACCAATAAATGTGTATGTAGTGAGAATGGAGACGCCACTACACACACACACACACACACACACACACACACACACACACACACACACACACACACACACACACACACACACACACACACACACTAACACACACTCTTTGTCATATATTTTTTTATCTATAGTCTCTATTTAAAAATGAAGACAGAACATTAACATTGAACACATACATTAATTTGCATTAATTTCTATAAAAAAATACATTCACTAATTTTGCAAGTAATGGACCCTGTAAATGTTTTCATTTAGGATCCATAAAAATCTAAAGTTCCCTCTTGTAACTAGTTACTTACACAAATGACAGTAATGTTATCTATTAGTGTGTGTGTTAGTGTGTGTGTGTGTGTGTTTTTGTTAGTGTGTGTGTTAGAGTGTGTGTGTTTAGTGTGTGTGTGTGTTTGTTAGTGTGTGTGTGTGTGTTAGAGTGTGTTAACACACACTGACACACACACACACACACTCTAACACACACACACTAACACACACTCTAACACGCACACTAAAACACACACACACACACTAACACACACACACACTTTTTTAAATTTCATCCCCCCAGCCTCCCTACCTTTTGGAGTGCTGAGGGGATTCCCAGGAGTCCAGTGATGTCACCCGGTGGCCGGTCCTGCTGGCGCTCGCGCGCGAGGGAGCACTCTCCCTGGCTGACGTCATCTTCCGGCCCCGGCATCAGTACGCGGCGCGCAAGGGAGCTGAAGAGGAAGCACTCAGCCAGGGAGCCCTGAGGTGACCAGCTGCTGGGCCCCCCCAGGAGAAGAGGCTGGCCACAGTGGGTACATACCGGGTCGCAGGGTAGCCAGGTCCCCATTATGTCATATATTTTTTTATCTATAGTCTCTATTTAAAAATGAAGACAGAACATAACATTGAACACATACATTAATTTGCATTAATTTCTATAAAAAAATACATTCACTAATTTTGCAAGTAATGGACCCTGTAAATGTTTTCATTTAGGATCCATAAAAATCTAAAGTTCCCTCTTGTAACTAGTTACTTACACAAATGACAGTAATGTTATCTATTAGTGTGTGTGTTAGTGTGTGTGTGTGTGTGTTTTTGTTAGTGTGTGTGTTAGAGTGTGTGTGTTTAGTGTGTGTGTGTGTTTGTTAGTGTGTGTGTGTGTGTTAGAGTGTGTTAACACACACTGACACACACACACACTCTAACACACACACACTAACACACACTCTAACACGCACACTAAAACACACACACACACACTAACACACACACACACTTTTTTAAATTTCATCCCCCCAGCCTCCCTACCTTTTGGAGTGCTGAGGGGATTCCCAGGAGTCCAGTGATGTCACCCGGTGGCCGGTCCTGCTGGCGCGCGCGCGCGAGGGAGCACTCTCCCTGGCTGACGTCATCTTCCGGCCCCGGCATCAGTACGCGGCGCGCAAGGGAGCTGAAGAGGAAGCACTCAGCCAGGGAGCCCTGAGGTGACCAGCTGCTGGGCCCCCCCAGGAGAAGAGGCTGGCCACAGTGGGTACATACCGGGTCGCAGGGTAGCCAGGTCCCCATTATGGTTGTCAGGCCCTGATGGCGGCCCTGTTGGTACTTTCTCTGCCTGTTCTGCATCACGAAAGAAAGTGGATTTAGGAAGGACCTGTATCATTCTCATTCACTTAGTTTGCTTATCTATTTTAAAGTTAAATCTAGAATTATCCAATTCTCTGAATAGTAAATTTTGATGAGATAATAACCAAACTGCAAAACTTTAGCAGCGAGAACATTATTTTTTTTATTTTTTTTTACCTTCACTACCACGTAAAACCAGTGTGACACATTCACTTCGACAGCCGAATCACTTATTTGTTTCAAGTTTATGGTTGCTACAGCAAAAAGATGCAGGGATCCATGTGCACTAGATTAAATCCAGATCAACTAACTATCCAGGTTAGAAACATCATAAACATACCCATATACAATGGCTACAGTGCCAGCAACAGCCTAGTCACAAACACCTTAATTATAAAGGATGACTTTTGTTATACCTCCAATATAGACCTCAATTAAAACCTCTATAATAACTTGCTCATTTGTGCTTTACAGCAATATATCATTGCCCCCAATAGCTAAAACTAATGATATACTAATTAGAAATATTGTGATTCATCATTCCCCAATGAATCCATCTTCTGGGATTAATTCTGAATATCATTCTGTGTAAATATATGTAGTATAAAACATTAATTATAGAAATAACCAAAGCATTTCAAGATGCACTAACATTTGTGCAATGATCATCATTCTTGGTTTATTATTATTATTATTATTATTATTTTATTTTTGTGCAATACATGTTTGATAAATTGTAAGTGTTCCTTGTACGCAGCTTGAAGACCTGGGATAGATAACATTACTGTCATTTGTGTAACTAGTTACAAGAGGGAACTTTAGATTTTTATGGATCCTAAATGAAAACATTTACAGGGTCCATTACTTGCAAAATTAGTGAATGTATTTTTTTATAGAAATTAATGCAAATTAATGTATGTGTTCAATGTTAGTGTTCTGTCTTCATTTTTAAATAGAGACTATAGATAAAAAAATATATGACAAATCGGTTTTCATTGTATGCAGATCTCTCTGCCCAATCCTGTTCAGATGGCCCATTTACTTATAGATGGCCATACTATCACACAAAACAACAGTATATGATGAAAACACTGTGCTTTTATTCACCCAAAAAATAAAAAATAAATAAAAATAAAACTATGTGGGGGAAATCAAAAGAATTATCCTTTTTTTTAGTTTTCCAGGTGGCCTATATCTGGGATTTACAGATCTCTGTGTTTAGGGATATTTATAATGAGTTCTGCATTAAGGGATTCGTGCCATTCCAGTGTTAAATCAATTAATTGATTAATCATGAAATGCATTGCTTTCTCAGCAGGGGATTCTAAAATTCCTCTCGTCTTGCCAGTGAATTGAGATATACTTTAAAATCTACAGACATTTAATAACCCTCTCATTTCCATCAGTGTTCAGTCATTGACAAATACTGAAATAGGTAAATTAGTGTACTAAAAATGTCTATTTAAATGTAATGCACATTTGCAAGAACGTCACAATAAGGTCAGCCAGCTCATGGGATCCTCCAAAAACAGGTCATGTTTGTAAATAATTTGAAATTCATTTTACTAAAAAATGTTTTGTAGACAATCTTTAGAACTGTCAAAAAATTTAATTTTAGAGAAAAGGTCAAGTCATAAATGAGTCAGAATGATTTCTTATGTAAATGTACATGAGGTTTCTTGATGGGCTTTTTCAGCAGGTTTTAGTCCTTACCCCGAATGTTGATAGTCTCTTTGTGACTATCGGAGTGAATCAGCAAGAACTGCATTAAGGCATCCAAGCATCCAACTTATATAGAAAAAAATCTGTTGTTGCTTTGGACACTATGGCTGTTTGACCTTTTTTATATTTTTAAAATTTTCTATGAAAAAATTCTGAGATTTTAATGTATCATCTGTTTCACTGTGGTTCCTGTGGATCTGCCTGCTTTTTATGTTTGTGCCTTCAGAATTTTCTGTTCTTTCTTCCATTTAAGGATTGTTGAGTAACACTGCCTCTGTTCATTCTTGTAATTAACTATATGAGTTAATGCAGAGTTATTTTCAGGCTAAACGTAGTTCATGGATTGTGTTCTAAAACATAAAAGCTAGTTGTGAATTGTGTTAAATAAATTCCAGAGAACTATGAACTATTGCCATTATTTCTACTTTTATATTGTTTATGACAGGCCCTGTCTAAGGAAAGAGTGTTCAAATAGTATCCTTCAACTGTGCCAGAACTTGGCACTTCCTTAGCTGCAGATCTACTTGTTGGCTATCCCCTATTTAAGGTAGAATTACAAAGAACTTATTTAGGCTTAAGTAAAAGAAAAATACAACAGCAAATTTAAAAAGCAAAATAGCTGGTGAATATAATGTCTTCCTAACCATAGTACTGTGTCTTGGTCTAAAGCTTAAGGGGTCCTGAAGAATTTACACTTCCTTGGTTCAAAGAGCCTCTTTATTATCCTTATTTTACAACGCACAATGAAAATTCACCATCCCATCATTGGTAACTCATTCTCTAGACCGTTAAAAAACTATTATTTGTCTCAAATTACATATTACGTGCTATTCCAATCTAATGTTTTAAGTAGTGGGTAGGTCAGTGCTTTATGACCTTTTATGATCTTTTCTCTGCCATTATGTATTGTATGTCAATTAATTGTACTTGTAAGCCATATAGCTTTAGTACAACTTGCACGTTATATGACTTAGACTAGTGAAGAGCAAAAATTATTTTTGCCGAATCATATGTTTGTCAGTCTGATGGATCACTGTTGTGTTTTAGTATTGTTTCAATCTACTTTTTACGTGATTATATTATACTTTATGTGCCTTACAGAAGCCATGACAAAGAAAGTCTCAAACGAAAGTCAAGTAACCGAATTCCTGATCTTGGGATTATCTAACTCATTGGAACTGAAAGTCCCTCTTTTCCTGCTCTTTCTTCTCATCTATTTTATAACTATGCTGAGCAACTTTGTAATCATTACACTCATTTGTCTGGATAGCCACTTACAAAAGCCCATGTATTTCTTCCTCTGCAACATGTCATTCCTTGATATATTTTACACCACAGTCACAACTCCCAACCTACTATACAATATTATCTCAGGTGACCAAACAATTTCTTTCAAAGGCTGCATGACTCAACTATTCTTCTTTAACTCTTTCGGAAGCATGGAGTACATGTTACTGACAGCCATGGCTTTTGATCGTTACATAGCTATTTGTCATCCTTTTAGATATAAACTGCTCATGAATGCAAGAGCCTGTCAGTTGTTAGCTGTCACAGCTTGGTTTGCTGGGTTTTTAGCTGCTGTTCCTCTAAGTGTTCAGATCTCTTCCCTTACTTACTGTTCTTCCAACGAAATCAATCATTTCTTTTGTGATCTGACAGCACTGTTGAAGGTAGCTTGTGATGATACATCTTCCACTGAGCTAATTGTATTTAGTGAGGGACTTCTAATTGTCCTCAACTGTTTCTTGTTAACATTTGCTTCATACGTTCAAATTATTTCTGCCATTCTAATGCTTGGCTCTAGTGAAAATAGATTCAAGGCTTTCTCAACCTGTGGCTCTCATCTCACTGTAGTCACACTTTTTTATGTGATGATTGTTTGCTTGTACATGAAACCAACCTCTTCATATTCTCTAAAAGAGGCCAAAGTTCTCTCTGTATTGTATGTTAACATTGTTCCAATGTTGAACCCAATCATCTACAGTTTGAGGAATAAAGATGTGAAAAAAGCTTTGGAGAGGTGCACACGTTGCTATTGGTAGTAGACTTGTGCATTGGGTTGCAAATTGCACAAATATATATTGCATAAAGTGACGGGTGCTTCATTTCTGCATCATTTAAATCACAGATTCAGTGAGAAGAGGTAATCATATGTCAAATATTTATATTATGTATAGATTTTGCAGTTCACCAATAAGCACATTTTTGCACTCTTTTCCATTGCTTGGAATATTTTTCCTAAAACTATTGTGTGGACCAAATGCATCCAAACTGAAATGCTACATTGAAAGCACCTAAATTGCTTGAAACATTTTTTTAAAGTAATCAATTCAGATGAACTGAATTTTTTTTCACCATGCACAAGTGTAAATAATAGGAAGCCTTGGTGCAGTATTTACCTAAATGTATAAGTTGAAATTTATTTTAAAAGTATCCTATCTTTGTTTGTTAAACTAGCTCAATTTAGTTAGATGACTTTGATGTTTTATACTGTTGTACCACTTGCACTGATATTAAAGCGTCTTTACTCAGATTTTGAATAGTATGATTCTTGCAGTAAGTAAAACACAAACTGACTATTTAATACTATCTGTTTCACTTGAGTGTTCTTTGTACTGTCTGGTTATAATATTATCTAATAGGTGGCAACACTGTGTCCTGCAGGGAAAATCAGTTGGAATCATGGAAGGGATAGATAGTGAATAGATATCGGACAAGCAAACAATGGAAAAGCTATCAGGTGGGGGTTAAAGCATGTCCAGAAGAAAAACTATAATGAAAGGAGGAATAGAGAGGGTGAGTTTATATAGAGAAAATGTGTTATAATATGGAGGAGTTAATATAGAGAGGAAGGTTTTTATATGGCTAGGATATGAAACCGATATGGATGGGAGTCAGAGATTCAGAAAATAAAGTAATGGTTACTTTAATGGAAATAAATGGGAACTTTAATGGGAAGAGAGGCCAGAAAATAACAAAATGTGAAGTGTCTGGGCACTTTTAGTTTTGGTACTTGATTTCTGTAAAAGATTTGTCATTTCTACAGTTGGTTATAGACAAAGGTGGAGAGTGTTTCTTAACAAGTAAAAAGAAGACTGCGTGCTGACAAAATGTGCTCATTAAATGACACTGCTTCAGCTACAAGCAATACCATTTAACCTGTGTACATAAAGAAAATATACTGTGTTGATCTCGAAGCAAGACTCTACATGTAGTCCAACAACAATGAGGACAGACTCGCAATTAGGGATATGCATGGTCCAAAAATTTGGTTCGGCACTTCCGAATATCGGGACTTCGGCAATTCAGGTTTTTAGCGGTCCGAGGACTTCAGGACTTCCATAACCCTGCCCCTAACCCTACCCGTACCCCTTCCCCTAATCTACTAGGAGTAGGGGTAGGGGTAGGGTTAGGGGTAGGAGTAGGGAAAGGGTTAGAGGTAGGGTTAGATGAAGGTTGGGGTAAGGTTAGGGGTAGGGTTAGGGTCAAGCTTAGGGGTAGGGTTAGGGGAAGGGATAAGGGTAGGGTTACGGCTAGGACTAGGAGTAGGGTTAGGGGTAGGGTTAGATTCCTGTCATCATTCCCTTAATGTTCCCTCCCTCTCCTGTTTTGTCACTTTTCAGAAATCCGAAGCACTTCGGCACTTCTGAAATTCGGCACTTTGGCAATTCAGTTCGGTTTGGCAATTCGGCACTTAGAAAATTTGGCAATTCGGCCATTCGGAAGCATCCGATACTGCAATGAGTCTGTCAATCATGATGATGTTACCTTCAATATGATTGTATCCACTAGATGGACCTCATTAGGTCCTCAAATTAATACTTTTAAGTAAGTGTTTCACATTTTTTATTTATTATTTATATATTATTATTATTATTTATATAACTCCAACAAATTCCGCAGTGCTGTACATTGGGTATACTTACAGAATGTAATTGTAGCCAGATGAGTTGAGAGACTGAGTTGAGACTGGTTGGGGGCCCTACTTAATAAGCTTACATACTACAGGGAGTGGGGTATAGTGACACAAAAGGTAAGGGCAAGGTAGAAAACTAGGTTGCTAGAAAATTATTCTTCACTGAGGGCATAGTGGGTGTGTTTTTTATGACAGTTGCAGGAGAGAAAACTGAGTGTGGGGAGGGAAAGCTGTTAACAGTTTAATTGATACACTTTCCTAAAGAAGTTAGTTATCAATGTTTTTTGAATTAATGGAAATTGAGTGAAGGAGAGGGCTAGTGAGGTTTGAGATGGGTAAAAGGAGAGTTTGGAGGTTGGTGGAGAATTCCTGTAGGTCAAAACAGTGAAGGTTTCTGTGAGATTAAAGAGTTAATGTTTTGGGTACATTTTTAAAAGTATTTAAAATGTAAAAATATTTTAATATATTGCTATTTTACGATATGTTGATATGTATTTTTTAATAGGAATATTTTTTGTTTTTTTAACATTTTAAAAAAATGACACCTTGTTTTTGGAAATCTTAGACTGTTCCATTTATCAAGGAGGTTGTACTCTTCTAGTAGTAGATAACAAGAGGGAAGAACTGGCATTGCGAAAATCATCCCAACATTCTGCTCTGTTAAGGTTTCACTGGGACAACATGGAAAATGAAATAAAAAAGAATTACCGTATATAAATACCTCCACACACCCTATGCTTTTACAAGGGGTAACTGTTGAGTTGATATCTACTTGTAAATTGGTACACTCTTTGTTATATACTTTATTTATGTAAACATTTGACATTCTAAAATTTTATCTGATATGTAAGAAGGAACCCCCTTCCACCCATTTTTTTCATTGTTTATTTGTTGTAATATTATTTTATAATTATATTGTTTTGTTATGTTTTTTATGAAAAACGCCTCAATAAAAATATTTTGAAAAGGAAAAAAAAAAGTTCATCCAAAAATAATAAATAATTTGAGAAGCTTATGCAAAACTATAAAATGGAGGGCTATGTCCCTCCAGGTTCCCGGAATCCTTCCTAATTACCTACTTTACCACTTCTTCCCTAATTGCTTGCTTTTACTATTTTGCACCCTAACCATTATTGCAAATGCACCCTGAACTTTATGGCTATCCGTTTCTAATTTTCTCTGACACTTCTTGTCATATAACCTTTACACTGTAAACTGACAAGTCTTCTTGTAAAACACTTTGCATAAATGCTGTACTAACACACATGGACAGAGTCCTCCTACTACTTGATTCAGTATATCTGTATTGTGCTGTCTATTTTACACCAATGCGGAGTCTGTTGACTCTGTATAAATACTACATAATAATGATGTAGTCTTAAATAGGATCTTTCTAATTCGTCTTTGCATTAATGGTTTTGTCCGACCAGCCTATCTTATTTAAAAGAATGCAATATGTCCTATATAATAATTCCTATGAGTTAGGTAAAATCTCTTTTTTTTCTCAGTGTTTCAGTGGATAAACTCATTGTCTTTGAATGGCCTTGTCACAAAACATTAAAAAATATTATTAATGTATTTTGGATTTAAATTAAAAAGTAGGATTTGTATATAGTTTCAATATCCCCATTGTACAGTATTACGGAATCTGATGGCGCTATATAAATAATAAAATAACAATATGTGAAGTCTAAAAAATCAGTTTATTTGTTGACATATTGGATATTAGGTCATTTTTATCTCTATACTTGATAAGAAAACAGTCAAAATTCCCTATTGTAAAAAATAAGTAAATATATTTTCTAAATATTTCATAAAAGTATTTTTTTATATGCAAGATTGATTTTAACTGTGTGTTGGGCAACTTTTTTAGTAATATATGAATGGCAATTTTTGATCAAATTAGGGGACGTCTCCCAAATTTTACAAGTACATCTTCAAATATATATTTTTAGTTTAACCGACAGAATGTTGAAATGAGCATGTTATAGTTACTCTTCTCAATTAGAGCAAATTAAGATTTTTTTTTGTTGTTTTGCCGTTGTCACACAACTAAATCTCAGCTTGTTGGATAAGATTTCCAAATTATTTAGTATTTTTGAAAACTAAAAAGTTGATATTTACAGCATATTGAAATATAAAAAACATATATAAGAAAAAAACATTTATAATTCTGTTTTTAATTCAGAAAAAATGTCTACATAAAATAATTAGCTAAACAGTGTATCAAAGTGAATTCAAAACTAATTGAAACAAACCCTGAAATAGTCATTGAATGGATGTTGCTGAGTTGGATAATATTTCTATATCAGCACCTTTTGTTGCATAAATTTAAAATTCAATTTTCAATTCACTACAATTCAGTGTTAAGGACTAAACCCCGTTGTATTATGTTTTTCTAATATACTGTAAGGTTTTATTTAAGCACAGTTTCAAAGTGAATGAGATTTTATCAAAAGGAAAGCAAAAAAAAATAGTACCAACAACTGAAATTTTCAATAGTATCTAATATGATTAGATAATGTGTTCTACCAAAGTTGCTAAATGATCATTTTCGAAACATGACCTATAATGGGTCAACAATGGACTCATTTTAAGGAAGAAACTCGAACTTTGTCAGCAGCTTGACAGTGCTCTAATTGTGATTATTAACTAAACACCAAAAAGAAATGAAGTGAAACTAAATATTAAATTGTAGTGACCTGAAAAGATGATTACAAAATATAGGTTATGAGAACTGATTTTAAAAAAAACAAATGTCTTTGTCTAAATTATTGCAATTAGGTTTACAGCTCACTACAATTTGGTGTTAAGTGAATTAACTTTCTAAATGCACATGTACTGAGTTTCTCCTATCATGTTGTATTGGTCACTGGTTATGCATGTAGCTCGGGAAAGCAAGTAATGGCAACTATGAATGTCTTTCACCATTCTGTCTCCACAGTTAAAAATATTAAATCTTTATTTTTTATTTTTTTTATATATATATTTATTTTTTCAAGATTTCACAATTTACATAGTACAATCAATTCCTCTATTGCAACATTTACATTTCTAATATGTTTCCGTATATAAACAACATTTCCATTGTACAACGAATATAAATATTCATATCTATAGTTCACATAGATTGCAAAAAGAGGTAGATAAAAATACCTAAAACTTTACATTCACACATACATACAATCCCGGGGAACCAATCCTACACTTATCCACTTTTCCCGTCCTTCCCATAAGGTACATTGTTACTAAAGTTCCTCGAGAGTCAGTCTCGCATTCGGGGCGGCTCGTATCCTAAGAATTATAAGTTCTAATAGTTAGTAATAAAGTTATCAACCATTATTTCCCATTTACTGTATTTCTTCAAACCTACAGAGTTACCTAAAATTAATCCCTTTTCCATCTTACATTGATATATTACCTGTATTTTGATTTCACTCCACTGTATTTCTTTTTTACTTTTCCAGTTTCTAGCCACCGCTAACTTTACTGCCATTAAAATATGAATTATCAACATTTGTTTCTCAGGGGGCATAGAAGGCCATCCCAGATGTAACAAAAAACTTTGTGGTGTAAAGGGTATATTTAGCTGACATGAGTTATAAATCTGCTTATATACCTCCTTCCATATTTTACTTAAAACTGTACAATACCACCAAATATGGAGATAATCTCCTTTCGCATCTTCACATCGCCAACAAAAAGAACTCTGATCTAGATACATTTTAGCCAATTTTTCTAGGACCATATACCATCTATTTAGGAGTTTATAAAAATTCTCTACTATGTTCAAGCAATGTACCGATTTATTAACTTTCTCTATCGCATTTTATTTATTTATTTATTTATAAAATATTTTACCAGGAAAGATACATTGAGATTTCTCTCGTTTTCAAGTATGTCCTGGGTCCACAAATCATTGCATTGTTACATTAGGTACAACAAAATACAAAAACAATATTAATACACAATATATACAAAATTTAACATAGAACAGGCAGGAAATATATAATCAACCATGACACGTGCATTCTGTTTTGAGGTATGTAGAGAGGGATCTCTTAAAAGACTTTAGGCTTAGGGAAGATTTTAAATTGTGCGGGAGGTCGTTCCACAATTGCGGCGCTCTGTAGGAGAAGGAGGATCGGGCCGCTTTCTTTTTGTATTGAGGTAGACTAAGTAAAGTGCTTGTACTGGATCGGAGGTTATAGAAAGTGGGAACAGCTGGGGAAAGCATTTTGTTCAGGTAGGGTGTGAGTTTCCCAGAAAAGCTCTTAAAAACAAGGCTGGAAAGATGAAGGGTGCGTCTGGATTCCAGCGACAGCCAGTTTAGTTCCTTTAGCATGTCACAATGATGGGTCCTGTAATTACATTGTAGCACAAATCTGCAGAACGAGTTATACAATGTGTTGAGTTTATTAATGTGGGATTGCGATGCAGACGCATATACTACATCCCCATAATCAATGATTGGCATCAGCATTTGCTGTACAATCTTTTCCTTTACTGTAGGGCTTAGGCAGGCTTTGTTTCTGTACAGGGCACCTAATTTTGGATAAAGTTTAGATGCAAGCTTTTCTATGTCATATCTTGTATGTCATATTTTCTATGTCATTCTTTATCATATCTTGTTCAGAGATTACTATTTGTAAATCTTTTTCCCACTTACTCTTAGATTTCCAAAGAGGAGCCTTCTGGGATAGCTTTAAGAATTCATAACATCTAGAAATATGGCCTTTAGTTCTATATGTTTCCATAATCTTCTTAATGTTACTTATATTTTTATTAAGCTGAATATCCAAGAATTTCGTCAAATAAAACTTAACTCTCAAATATGTAAAAACCTCCTTACTTTCAATCCCGAATTCTACCTGTAGCTGGCTAAATGACTTAAGATCCTTTGCGTCTATAATTTGTTGAATGTGCGTAATACCTTTTTGTATCCAACCTCTAATATTAATATCATCAATATTATTATTAATCACCTCCATAGGTAGAAAAGGGAATAATCTATATTCTATTTTATAATTTTTCTTAAATTTATACCAGAATCTCCATATACTATCTATAATTGTCGAATTTTCTGGATGAACCAAATTATTTTTTTCTAAATTCCTCCTTGTTGTCCAAAACAGGGAGGATAGACTGCTTGTCTCTACTAGTGATTGCTCTATATGATGCCAAGATTGATCTTTTTGATCTATACTTAATGTGTTAACAGTATGGGCCAGCATACATGCGTCATGATATTCAATTATATTTGGGGCAGCAAGACCTCCCTCTTTTCTTTTCTTAGATATTAACTGTAAACTTATTCTTGGTTTTTTACCTTTCCAAATAAATTTAGAAAAGGCTGATTGTATCATTTTTAACCATGGATTGGGAACTTGTATGGGTATCATTCTAAAGAGATAGTTCCATTTAGGCAAAATATATGATCGAATAGTATTTATGCGGCCTATCCAAGAAATCTCCTTGCCTGCCCATTCTTTTAATAATTTATTAGTATTTTTTATAAGAGGAAGAAAATTAACTTCAATAACTCTATTCATATCTCTTGTTATTTTTATGCCAAGGAATGAGATATATTCCTTAACCCAGACAAAATCATAGGATATTTTAATAAAATCCCTATCTTTCCTGGATAAATTAGTTGTCATTATTGTGGTCTTGTTAATATTTAATTTATAATTTGAGAATACACTATAATGATCTAATATTCTTATCAATTCCGGCAATGATGATCTAGGATTCTGCATCATAAGCATGACATCATCCGCATATAGATTAATCTTGTGTTCTAGATTATTAAGCCAAAACCCCTCAATCTTTCCGTTTTGTCTTATATCTTCTGCAAGAGGCTCAATGGTTAAAACATAAAGTAACGGGGAAAGAGGACATCCTTGCCTGGTTCCGTTTTTAATAGTAAACCAATCTGCCTCTATCCCAGGGCCAATGGTCCTAGCCGAAGGAACTGTGTATAGTGCCATAATGGCATCATAAACTGTTCCTACTATGCCATATGATTTCAATGCGTTTCCCAGAAAGTCCCATCTGACTCTGTCAAATGCTTTCTCAGCATCTAATGACAGGGTCAGAAGGGGAGCTCTTTTCCTATTCGCAGCGTCATGTACATCAATTATTCTTCTTAATCCGTCTGAAGCTACTCTGCCGTATACAAATCCAGCTTGATCCTGATGTATTAAAGTCGGAATACATATTTTTAATCTATCTGCAATAATTGAGGCGTAAATCTTTACATCCCCATTTAAAAGCGATATTGGACGATAATTCACCAATTTTGCTGGATCCTTATCCGGCTTCAAAATAGGAACGATATTCGCTTGAAGCATCTCCCTAGGAAACACACAATTTTCCACTATTATATTAAATATCCTAGCGAGACGAGTCGAAAGGGTATCTTTAAATATTTTATAAAATTTATTTGAATAACCATCTGGACCAGGGGCTTTATTTATCTGTAACTTGTTTATAGCTACTATAACTTCATCTGGGGTTATTGGTTTATTTATCTCATTGAGTTGTTCCCTAGTTATTTTTGGCATTTTTTTGTTTTTAAAATACTCTGAAGATGGGGGTTGTTGTCCCACTGATTCTAAGTTATATAATCGACTATAATAGTCATTAAAAGCTGACCCAATTTTTTTCGGACTTAATAACGTTTCTTTTCCTTCCTCAATTTTATGAATCCTCCTCATTTGTTTTTTGTTTTTCAATTTATTTGTAAGCAGCCTATCCGCCCTGTTACTCTTATAATACCAATTAATCTTTAGGAGTTGGAGATTTCTCTTTTTTCCCTCAATTAATAATTCATTTATTTGATTCTGCAATAATAGCATATTTATACTTTTCTCCTGAGTTGGTAAAATTTTATTTTCATTCGATAAGTTATAGTAATCTACATATAAATCCTTCAGGGGTCTCCCCTTTTTTTTTTTATCGATTGTACCTAACTTAATTAAATAGCCTCTTATGACGCATTTATATGCGTTCCAGACCATCGGCAGTGATACTTCTCCCCCCTCATTTTCCTGAAAGAAGCTATCTGTCATCTCCTCTATATATTCTCTATTTTCCTTACTGGAAAGAATATTATCATTTAATCTCCAATGGGTACGTCTTGCACTATTATCCACTATGTCCAACTCCAAGATTATGGCATTATGATCGGACCAAGTTACCTCATCTATAAGAACTTTTTTAGTAATATTAATAAATCCAACACTACCCAAAAATAAGTCAATTCTTGAGTATGAGAAATATGCTCTGGAGAAGCATGTAAAATCCCTCTCCAGTGGATGAAGCACTCGCCATATATCCATGAATCCATATTTCTTAATTATCCTTTGAAATTGTACAGCTTTTGCGGTTACCCCTTTAATTGACCCCTCAGGATTTAAGGTTTTCCTATCCATATTTACATCTGGGAGCCGATTGAAGTCACCCGCCAAAAGTAATTTACCCTGTTTTATTTTATCTACTTTATCAAAAAGGTTATAGAAATATTTATTAGAGGGATTATTAGGCGCGTACACATTTACTAACGTATAAATTTCTGATTGGATTTTAATTATCACTATAATAAATCTAGCTTCTTCATCTGATTCTTGATATATGATTTTAGCATCTAAATCCTCACTTATCAAAATGACTACTCCTCTTTTCCTCTGATTCTCTAATGTGGCAGATATTACTATTGAGAAACTTTGTGGAATGAATCTAAACTTATCATCTCTTTTCCAGTGTGTCTCCTGTAAAAAGACGATATGAGCTTTTTCTTTCTTAATATAATCGAACAGAATTGCTCGTTTACTAGGGGAATTTAAACCCTGAACATTTAACGATATAACTTTAACCATTTCTCTTTTTTAATTTTTTTTCTGAACTTCTTTCTATTCTGAGGATGAGCCCCCTTCACAATTACCACTTTCATACCAAACATACCCCATCCTCTCATATACAAGAGGCAGTCATTCAACAAACCCTGAGTATTAACCTAGAGGGTTTAGATCCAAAAGGGAAAAATCCCCTAAATGGAGTCTAGTCCTCATATAGAAAATTACTAAATGAGGAAAAATTAAAAGCTGAGCTAGGATCGTCCCTTAGTTTTACCTATTATCTTCGCCTGCTCCCATAACACATTACCTCCCCCCTCCAAGCGTTTATTACAAAGCTTCTCTAGATCCTCATTTTAGACTCTTCTGTTTATGTTAAAGAATCTATCCAGTTCTCTCCTCTTCCAGTTGTTTACGAATCCCTACCTACTTTTCCCATACTTCTCTCTTAAGACTATTTGTGAGAATATTACTTCCTTACTAACAGACATTTCCATTTTTATTTTCCAAGTATAAATAACTATTTCCCAAGTGCAAATATTTTATCTTTCTATAGTCTCAGCTAAATTACCGTGTTTCAATAATTTTAAAAATATCCTAAAGTGACTCCAGTGATCGTCACAACTAATCCAATACTTTAATCTCTATAATATAATTCTACCTACTTTCATTTAATACATTTTTATAAGTGCCACTTATATCTATTATTTTACTTAATATTT